AAGAACTTTGGTTCTACAAGATCTAAGTTTCTTAGTCCTTTACCTACCTTCGTGTTTTTGTTGTTGTTTATATTATGTTCCTTATTGTCTTCCATTTTTCACGTCCATGTACGTTGTTTTTATGGTTCTACTTTGTTCTTCATCATAACCATTTGATTTTTACCACTAGTTTTCCATATACATGTGTTGTTGTGTGCTTTTATATTTTGTTGAATCTTTCTTCACATATATAGTTATGTTTTGATGTTGTTTTTGGCCATTTTTATTTTTAAATCCATCCATGTTGTCTAGAGTCATGTGTAATCATTTTTGTGTCAATTTTTCCTAGTTTGAGCATTGCAAAAGTCACAAAAAAATATATTCAACTTGAATTTTGAAATCTCTCTATGTACATCCATTTGAGTGCTTTTATTTTGCATATTTGAGTTCATGCTTGTCATTAGACCATTGACAAGTTCTTTGTGTTCATTTGAGTTTCATGCTATGTTTTGATTATAGTAGGTTTTTCTTCATTTTGTGACTATTGAATTTTTTAGTTTTCGAAAGAGGTTATTAGATCTAATTTGTTATGCTTATGTGTGGTTAAAAGTGAAAAGTAAAACTGAAAACGGAAAAGTAAAAGTAAAAGTAAAAGTAAAAAGTAAAAGTAAAAGTATAAGCAAAAGTCAAAAGTAAAAGTGAAAAGTAAAAGTAAAAAGAAAAAGTTGCTTTGAGATGACATATTACCTCTGACCACATTGCATCATTATCTCGCATGAAGACAGGAAATAATCATTTCTCTACTTTAGTTTTTTTGGTTTTTATGATATATTATAGTGTCTTTCTTTAGGTAATTCTTTTGTGTGCCTAACATTTATTCTTGAGCTTTATTTTCTTAATTGTCTTGTTCAATACTCTTTGTTTTATCTCACCATAACTCCTTTTGAAGAGCTTTTGTTCATTTTGGTAAGTGTTTATGGTGGAATGAAGGTGTTAGTGGAGTTCTCTCGAGAGGTTGGGTCAACTCTAAAGAATGGTGGCTAGATGAACCTTGTGGGATGCTCTAACTTTGTCTTGGGACAAGATATGGTTGCTTATATTTTGACAACATATTCTAAATTCTTCAAGTGTTTTTACAAGGGAGGAGACACCTCTATTTATAGACGAAGGTGTCTCCAAAGTATACCAAAGCCTTAAAAACTCTCCACTTTTAGAGTGTCATGTGACAATCTACTTTAGTAAAAATTTCTCCACTTAGAAAATGACACATGATCACTACCTTTGTAAGAAAACTCTTCACTAAGAGCTTGTCATGTGACCATATGCTCCACGGTGGGATACCACCCATCAAGCTAGGTTTATAAATTATACACTACATAGCCCTTAATACAAGGCCTAAAAAGAAATCCTATATTACTTGACCTTAATACAAGGTCTAGAATGATTTCATGATGGTCCTAGAGAAGGAGCTTTGCTTCTCTTTGCATAAATGACTCTAGCTCTTCTTGAATCTTCTTGGCTAAAGCATATGTCGTCATACCCTCCCTCTTCAAAAGACTTTGTCCTTAAATCCTCAAGTTGTCATACGAACATTCTTCCTCCTTTTGAGCATGTTTGGCTTTCTTCCCCCGAGCTCAAATAGTCTTCTTGCATGGATGAATCTAGCTCATCTTGAATGTGTTTGGGTCATGGGTAGGACATATGTCATCAAATATTTCAAGATGAACCTAGCTCATCTTGAAAATGATTTATCCTTAAATCTTCATGTTTCTTCATGACAATACCTTTTTCTTATTATTGGTCAACTTGTATATTATTCCTCGAGGATCAAAGATCCATATGTAGTAGTTATCAAACAAAAATTCAAGAAATTTTTGTATCATAAACAAAATATATCTAAATGAAAAATTAGAAGAAAGCCTTGTGTTAATTTTGAAAGAATTTGTTTTAGAACTTTCAAGACCCACCTCACAAAAGTTTTTGTGTCTATTTTGAGTTAATTGTACCTTAAAAGGGTAACATCAACTCAAAGTATGGTTGTGAAAAATCTAATGAGGAGTATAAAATAATGAAATAAAGAAGTGAATTTGAAAATTTCTCCTTAATATAAGTTGGATGTAAGAAAGATGAATTAATGGTAAATTGAGAAAAGTTCAAAGATTTGAAAACTCTCTTTGTCCTATAAGTTTTAATTAATATTGCATGGATAAAAGGTGGTTGTAGTAACATTTCCTCCTTGAACAAGATTTCTTTTTCCTCTCTTTCTTTTATCTCAATATCTTATTTTTCTCTATTATCTTTCTCTTTCCTTTCTCTTTTCTTTCTCTCTTCATTATTTCTTCTTTCCTCTTCCTTGTTCTCTTTTCTTTCTTGGTTCTCTTTCTCTCTTTGTTCATTCTCCTTGTCTTTCTTTCTCTTTCTTTTATATTCCTCTCTCTTAGCTTCTACCTCTTTTTATTTCTTTTCTAACTCTCTTAATTGTTCATCCCTTCTTCTTTTAATCTCTCTTTTCCTCTTGCACTCAAGAGCTTCTTCACTTATTCTTCAAACCCATCTTCTCTACAATATAACTCATTTACATTGTTAATAAATGTTTTTCTTCTTGTAATGAGTTTTCTCATCTCACATATTAACTGTTGGTTTCTATCAAATGAGGGATGAACAAATTTTGTTCTCATGCAGGCTCTCAATTTTTTCAAAAGAATTTTGGAAAACAAATTTCACAAAGAATCTATCATTCTTAAGATTTTTGAAATTATGTAGTGGACACACAAAACTTGTATTTCAAAAGGAAATTGCTTAAGAGACTTAAGGAGACAAAAGGATCTCAAGTCCACTTACAGGAAAGGGAGATTAATAACAAATGATTACTTAACAACCAAGCTTTTCCTAGCTTAGTTTTACCTCAAGTCTTCTCGCAACAAACTTCTCAAATGGAATTAGGTTTAATACATAAGTGGACATGCTAAATTATAAGTAGTTAAAGAAAACACTTAAACTAGACTATGCGACCTAATGGTAAAGTTAGAAGATACTTTGGAACCTTCAAACCTCTACCAACTAGAAATCTTTTCAAATACAATTTATAAGTTCTTTTTAAGAGATGAGGTTGAGCATCAAAGACTACCCCAAGACACCTAATAAGGCCATGAGTTACAAGTCCAAAAACAATACAATTTTAGAACTAAAAAATGTATAATACAAACAAATGATGCTTGTTCCTTTCCAAAACCAAATCCTAGAGATAGAAATCCAAGGAAAGGACAAATAAAGGCCAAAATGAACAAAAGTTCTTCAAAAAGAGTTATGGTGAGACAAAACATAGAGTGTTGAACAAGACAATCAATAAAATAAAGCTCAAGAACAAAGGTTAGGCACACAAAAAAGTTACCTAAAGAAAGACACTAGAATAGATCACAAAAATGAAAATAACTAAAGTAGAAAAAATGGTTGCTTCCTGTCTTCACTAGTAGAGAGTTAATGATGCACTATGGTGAAAGGTAATATGTCATGTCAAAGCAAAACAACTTTTGTTTTTTACTTTTACTTTTCCTTTTGCTTTTGACTTTTGCTTTTGCTTTTGACTTTTGTTTTAACTGTTACTTTTCCTTTTTTACTTTTACTTTTCACTTTTTACCACACACAAACATCACAAATCATATTTGACAATCCCTTTTGGAAACTCAAAAATTCACAAGTCAAAAAATGGAAGAAAAATCTACTGAGTAAGAAACTTAAACAACACAAGAGAAACTTAACTCTAAAATATTTGAGTAACTATATCTTGTCTCAAGTCAAGGCCAGAACATTTCATAGGTTTCTCTAGTCACACTTCTTTAGAGTTGGCCTAACATATCAAGAAATTCATCAAACACCTCCATTCCATAGTAAACACTCAACACAGTTGTGAGCATAATTCTCAAAGCTGAGACAATTTTATCTCCATAACTTCATATTTTTTGTTTTGAGTCAACATAACTTTGAAGATGACGTTATCACAAGAATATTGTCAGATAATGATTTTAGTACGATGGATATAATACTCTATATCATTTTAAATTAAAGTTCATTAATTGCATAAATAAGTCGTCAAAAATTTTTTGCTAATGTTTTAAAAATAATAATACATTTGAAACGTACTTGACGGACAGTTTTCCAACTTTACATTTTGGAAAGTATTTTAAAAACATATTATAAAGTATATAAAATAAAGATATATTAGTTGTAGATAACAATAACCTAGCTACCTAGACCCGTAAGCTGAAATCCCACTATTCATAACGGATAAATAAAGAACAAATAATCAATCACACTAAATGCTATTTAATCTGAGAGAATGTAAAGGCAAAAAACAAATTGAGAAAAGTAAATATAATAAATATAAAAATGATTCATGTACATGAAAAATGTTAATCAGCACTTTATATATACTTACCGGTGACAAGTTTACAGAATAGATTATATGATGAGAAGAAAGGGATAAGAAGAAAACAAGATGTAATCATGTATCTATATCATTATTCTAATAAATAATACAATATATAATAGAAAAATAAATAAAATATTATTTTATAAGGTTCACATACACCAAAAACATGACTGAAAAATGATACAAGTATCATCCAAATGACACCAACAAAATATAAAGTTATTAATACACATTGATCATATGCCTTTTTCAGTTCACGTTTTGACAGATAAGATAAAGTAATTAATGAACACACAGATGATCAAAAGTGAATTATATTTGCAAGACCAGAATGTTCCATGTTTTCAGTTAAGTCAGTCACTCCGATGGTTGGAAGAACATGAATTAAGGATGGAATAATATGCTGCATCAATTTCCAACATTCACAATGGATAAGACCATGTACAACTTTGTACCGTACCATATACTGAATAATTAAGTAATTAATGAATAGATTAATTAATTAATCAAGAGTTAATTATTATTAAAGTGCTCACACACTGTCCCATCTCATTGTATATAACAAAGATAACTTCACTTCAAATGCATACTCATGGCCAAAGAATTCTTCACTGGTTCGGCAACTGGCCGGAGCTCCGACGAAGTGAGTTTAGCTGACATAGTTTTTGAGAGTTGGGATTCATTCGATTCCAATAAAGACGGAGATGTTGATGAAAACAACAACAACGAAAACGATGATTCTTCGTCAGAAAAGTGTAAAGCCTTTTGGGAGGAAAAAGATCAGCTTCTTAAGGTACATACAGTTTTCTTGTTAACGATGAATCCTTCATGTATACTTCAACATAATATTAATGATGAAACTTTCTTTGCAAAAAAGGGAATTTTGTGCAGGACTAGTTCATGTGAGAAAAAGGTTAGGGAAGCGACGAAGGAGATCATGAGAGAAATGGATAATTCTGAGATGGTGTGTAGTTGTCGGCGGCAAGTGGTGGCTAAGAATTGCAGGAACTGCATGCTGAAAGAGCTATGTGATCGATTGTTGAACCTTGGCTACAACTGTACCATTTGCAAGTCTAAATGGAGGAGTTCATCGGAAATCATATCAGGTATATACATATAGTAAAATTTGCATCTATATATAAAATGTTCTTATATCTATTCGATATGGAACTTTTAATATTATGTAACTGAGGAAGTGGTGTTGATTTTGGAAGGGGAGCACTCATATTTGGAAGTGAGAGAGGATTTATCAAAGAGCAAAAGAGAAGTGAAAGTGGTGATTGAATTGAGCTTTAGAGGGGAATTCGAGATGGCATGTGCGAATGAAGAATACAAGGAATTGATTAAGCGATTGCCAGAAGTGTTTGTAGGGAAAGCAGAGAAGTTAAGAGCATTGGTGAAGATCATGTGCTCAGCTGGTAAAAGGTGCATGAAGGAGAAGAAAATGCACATTGGGCCATGGAGGAAACACAAGTACATGGAAGCTAAGTGGTTTGGCACGTGCGAAAGCTCCACAATGGAACCACTGCTCGTAATGAACTCTGCTACTCGCCAACCAAAACCTAAGGCTTCAATGCTCACTTTTGATTTACTATTGGATAATATTCAAGGGTTGCACTGTACTACAGTTGAAGTAGTGTGAATTTTATTATGGTTTTATTTATTTTGGAATCTATAATTCTTAATCTTGAAAGAGGTATTTAAGAAACTCACTTATGTAACGCTAATATCTGTTACCACCATAAAAAATTATCACCGATCACCACCAACAACCACAAACTCTCATCACCACCGCCATTAACCACCACAAATATATTACTAAGAAACAATAAACACTCAAACACTCACGCTCCTTATAACTATTATCACACCAATCTCCAACACAAATACACCATGACAAATTACAATAACAACGCTCAAACACTTCCGCTCCATATGACTATTACCATAGGAATAATTTTGGTATTTTAACACTTTGGGGTGCATATAGAGAATATGGGGTGTAAGAAGTAATTGTTGAGTTGAAAGAGTCACCAACAAAAAATAAATTAGAAAATGGATGAACACTGTAATAAAAATAAAACTCAAGTAATCATGAAAGTGTCATTTCTTTCCACATTCCATGATTTTCATATACACCCTGTAGGGAAGGTTTAAAGACCAAATTGTCTCTCTTATCATCATTATCACTCTTGTATGTGATGTATCATGAATGTATTTAAAGGAAGGAAATGTTTTATATTGTACTATTCAAAAAAAGGAAAAAAAAATTACAAAAAAAAAAAATATTTTTAAATTGTGTAATTTAAAATTTATTTTTTAAAAATAAAATGAGAATTTTTATAGTTATGGAATGCCAAAAAATGAGGATAAAAAAGAAATCCCCTCCTAAAAAATATCAAATGTTGTGCCCAAATCACTACAAAAATATATAATTTTTCTAGGGATTATATTTAGTTGTCGGCGGTTTTAACCCCTGGAAAATTCGTTTCCCGCGGTTTCATTAAGCTCTGGTAAAAGCAGCGCCACTAAACATTACCGGCGGTTTTCTACGAAACCGCCGCAATTTCCAGAGGTTTTTGAAAAATCGCCGAAAATAACTGGGGTTTTGTAGAAACCGCCGAGAATAGCCACGGTTTCTTATAACCGCCCCTATTTCTAAGGATTTCCTCTAAAATCGCAGGAAATGTAATGATAGCTCAAAATTTTATTTTTATTTACAAATATATATTTTTTTCCAAATCTTTGCATCAAAGCAGTCACCCTTATAATCTAACAAAGTTTGAAATAAATACAAAAATAAAAATCGTTTTATAATCTAACAAAGTTTAAAACAAATACAAAAATAAAACATTTAGGAGATCTGGGACACCTTTTTAGATTGTCTTTCCACTTTCCACTAAGATGCAAAGTACAAAAACAACCCCTCTGCTTTATAATACAATTTCTTCCCCAAACCATCTCATAATTTTGTGTTCAAGTACATTTCATGTTTGGTTTTGAAAGACTCTCTTGCTAGTATGAGAGATTCATCAAATAAATGATATGTTAATATTAGTTAATGGGATTCACGTAGTTGATAGAACCCACCGAAATTACTATAAATTTTCAGGCCATATACATATTTATGAAAGTACCATACCCAGTAACCATTGCTACCAACAGTTTATATGTAATGTTTAAATAAACTTTAGTTACACTAAGAACTGAAAGACTGATTTTAAATACTTCTGATTAAAAACTTGCAGCTGGAGAAGTAAGAAAAAGACAAGAATGAGAATGGAGACTCATTACTACATGTGTTTGATAACCAACTTAACACATCACTGCATTCATTACCAGGGTCACTCTATCCTGATATTTTCTCCACTCCTACTGCTGCTAATCTTCTGATTCTGATACAGACTGATTCAACTTCATTCAAACATATTAGAAGAGGTGAGTTAATTCCTCAAGTATAAATATAAATAAAACAGATATAAAATGTTAAAAATATAAAATATCCAAAAATAGATGAAACTCATTCATTAGAAACAACCATATTAATATTTAGAAATAGCCATAATAAAACCAGGACTATATTTAAGAGAGACTAACAAGGAAAGTGATTCAAAAGATGAAATATACATGGAGACTAGCCCAGGGACTGATGAGGATGATCCTTCNATGGATATAATACTCTATATCATTTTAAATTAAAGTTCATTAATTGCATAAATAAGTCGTCAAAAATTTTTTGCTAATGTTTTAAAAATAATAATACATTTGAAACGTACTTGACGGACAGTTTTCCAACTTTACATTTTGGAAAGTATTTTAAAAACATATTATAAAGTATATAAAATAAAGATATATTAGTTGTAGATAACAATAACCTAGCTACCTAGACCCGTAAGCTGAAATCCCACTATTCATAACGGATAAATAAAGAACAAATAATCAATCACACTAAATGCTATTTAATCTGAGAGAATGTAAAGGCAAAAAACAAATTGAGAAAAGTAAATATAATAAATATAAAAATGATTCATGTACATGAAAAATGTTAATCAGCACTTTATATATACTTACCGGTGACAAGTTTACAGAATAGATTATATGATGAGAAGAAAGGGATAAGAAGAAAACAAGATGTAATCATGTATCTATATCATTATTCTAATAAATAATACAATATATAATAGAAAAATAAATAAAATATTATTTTATAAGGTTCACATACACCAAAAACATGACTGAAAAATGATACAAGTATCATCCAAATGACACCAACAAAATATAAAGTTATTAATACACATTGATCATATGCCTTTTTCAGTTCACGTTTTGACAGATAAGATAAAGTAATTAATGAACACACAGATGATCAAAAGTGAATTATATTTGCAAGACCAGAATGTTCCATGTTTTCAGTTAAGTCAGTCACTCCGATGGTTGGAAGAACATGAATTAAGGATGGAATAATATGCTGCATCAATTTCCAACATTCACAATGGATAAGACCATGTACAACTTTGTACCGTACCATATACTGAATAATTAAGTAATTAATGAATAGATTAATTAATTAATCAAGAGTTAATTATTATTAAAGTGCTCACACACTGTCCCATCTCATTGTATATAACAAAGATAACTTCACTTCAAATGCATACTCATGGCCAAAGAATTCTTCACTGGTTCGGCAACTGGCCGGAGCTCCGACGAAGTGAGTTTAGCTGACATAGTTTTTGAGAGTTGGGATTCATTCGATTCCAATAAAGACGGAGATGTTGATGAAAACAACAACAACGAAAACGATGATTCTTCGTCAGAAAAGTGTAAAGCCTTTTGGGAGGAAAAAGATCAGCTTCTTAAGGTACATACAGTTTTCTTGTTAACGATGAATCCTTCATGTATACTTCAACATAATATTAATGATGAAACTTTCTTTGCAAAAAAGGGAATTTTGTGCAGGACTAGTTCATGTGAGAAAAAGGTTAGGGAAGCGACGAAGGAGATCATGAGAGAAATGGATAATTCTGAGATGGTGTGTAGTTGTCGGCGGCAAGTGGTGGCTAAGAATTGCAGGAACTGCATGCTGAAAGAGCTATGTGATCGATTGTTGAACCTTGGCTACAACTGTACCATTTGCAAGTCTAAATGGAGGAGTTCATCGGAAATCATATCAGGTATATACATATAGTAAAATTTGCATCTATATATAAAATGTTCTTATATCTATTCGATATGGAACTTTTAATATTATGTAACTGAGGAAGTGGTGTTGATTTTGGAAGGGGAGCACTCATATTTGGAAGTGAGAGAGGATTTATCAAAGAGCAAAAGAGAAGTGAAAGTGGTGATTGAATTGAGCTTTAGAGGGGAATTCGAGATGGCATGTGCGAATGAAGAATACAAGGAATTGATTAAGCGATTGCCAGAAGTGTTTGTAGGGAAAGCAGAGAAGTTAAGAGCATTGGTGAAGATCATGTGCTCAGCTGGTAAAAGGTGCATGAAGGAGAAGAAAATGCACATTGGGCCATGGAGGAAACACAAGTACATGGAAGCTAAGTGGTTTGGCACGTGCGAAAGCTCCACAATGGAACCACTGCTCGTAATGAACTCTGCTACTCGCCAACCAAAACCTAAGGCTTCAATGCTCACTTTTGATTTACTATTGGATAATATTCAAGGGTTGCACTGTACTACAGTTGAAGTAGTGTGAATTTTATTATGGTTTTATTTATTTTGGAATCTATAATTCTTAATCTTGAAAGAGGTATTTAAGAAACTCACTTATGTAACGCTAATATCTGTTACCACCATAAAAAATTATCACCGATCACCACCAACAACCACAAACTCTCATCACCACCGCCATTAACCACCACAAATATATTACTAAGAAACAATAAACACTCAAACACTCACGCTCCTTATAACTATTATCACACCAATCTCCAACACAAATACACCATGACAAATTACAATAACAACGCTCAAACACTTCCGCTCCATATGACTATTACCATAGGAATAATTTTGGTATTTTAACACTTTGGGGTGCATATAGAGAATATGGGGTGTAAGAAGTAATTGTTGAGTTGAAAGAGTCACCAACAAAAAATAAATTAGAAAATGGATGAACACTGTAATAAAAATAAAACTCAAGTAATCATGAAAGTGTCATTTCTTTCCACATTCCATGATTTTCATATACACCCTGTAGGGAAGGTTTAAAGACCAAATTGTCTCTCTTATCATCATTATCACTCTTGTATGTGATGTATCATGAATGTATTTAAAGGAAGGAAATGTTTTATATTGTACTATTCAAAAAAAGGAAAAAAAAATTACAAAAAAAAAAAATATTTTTAAATTGTGTAATTTAAAATTTATTTTTTAAAAATAAAATGAGAATTTTTATAGTTATGGAATGCCAAAAAATGAGGATAAAAAAGAAATCCCCTCCTAAAAAATATCAAATGTTGTGCCCAAATCACTACAAAAATATATAATTTTTCTAGGGATTATATTTAGTTGTCGGCGGTTTTAACCCCTGGAAAATTCGTTTCCCGCGGTTTCATTAAGCTCTGGTAAAAGCAGCGCCACTAAACATTACCGGCGGTTTTCTACGAAACCGCCGCAATTTCCAGAGGTTTTTGAAAAATCGCCGA